GAGTTGTGGTGTTCAAGCTGCCAAAGTAGCAGCAAATGGAAAGACGTGAGAGCTGCAATATGATGATTACAGAGTAGCAGCAAAGTGACAGCACAATGGAGCTTCACATATGCTACAAGAAATGGCAGTAAATCTTTGAATGTAATCTTTTGTTTTAAATGCTTAATATTTTCTTGTATTGGGTAAAATGTTAGGTGAGAAAAAAATTGTTTTCTATTGTATTGTTTCTGCTATAAATGTAATAAAATATCAATGATATCTCTTGAGTTGGAGTGATGTACTCCTCTCCATTTTATGTGCTCTGCTCTTCATCTTCTTCCTCTCGGTTCTCTCCATTTTTTCTTTCTTTGCTTTAAAAAAAACCCAACAGACACGTTGTCTGGAGATGGCTTGGCGTACATTGGGAACAAATTCTTATGTGGGGCTCCCGATGCAGTCATCACTTGTGACAGCAACAGCTCCTCAGGTGATCCGGAAACAATTAATCTGAAGGATTCTGCGCAGCAGCAAGTGTTCTATGAAGCTGTTATTCCAGGCTATGGAGTTGGCACAACAGGATTTTTCTTGATTCTGCAACTGATGAATGAAACCTGGAGGCAGAGATATTGGACAGCAATTGACAGAATCGCATTGAGAATCATCAGATGCTGTAAAATGGTTCAGTAAATAAGAGATTATGTACACAGATAATAGATGACTTGTTATCCTTGTAATAAAATAGCAAATGAATAATAAAGAAACATTTTATTCAGAAAACAAAGCAGTAAAAAAGAAACCAAATTATTTTATCCCTTATCAGTAAAAAATTAGACAAACCATTTCAATGAAGAAGAAGCTCGATCAAGGACTATGAAAACCAACTAAAGTTAAAGAGACAACAAAGCTGACTTTTAAAGAAGGCAGACTACGGCACCCTGAAAACGATGGGCATTAACCAGGGTTTTAAGGTCGCCTAAATGACATCTTTTCGAATTCCAAAATGCTGGTCTTTTTACCTACTTTATATTTTGGCCTTTGCTTTGTTCTCAAAAGTTGACAATGGAGATACGAGAAAAGATAAAATAGTGTTGATCTCGTGCTACATGACATCTGCTAGGTCAATAAAGTTGACAGCTTAATTTTATTATCTTGGTAAAAAAAAAAAAAAAACATATATATTAGAGTCATGTTTTGTTAGCAAGTTTAATGTCAACTATGAGCCTGCTTCACTTTTTAAATCTTTTTTTCTTTTAACAAGGTTACAAATACGGGAGGGGGAATTTCAACCCAGCCCTCAAGTTGGGGGAATGTATCTTACAAGTCGTCTTATGACCGTTGGGTCCAGATATTTCTAAATCTCATTTAAATTAAAGTTAAACAACATTAAATATTTAGAAAAAAACCTGTATTGAATAGGATTTAATAATTAATTTAAATCTGACTACGTTATAACTTAATTGACAAAAAAATTTCTGAGGTTCACACAAGCAGCCTACGCCCTATAGTTGACTAAAACAATTTTATTATAACGAGCTTAACCATTAACTAAATCCAAAATTCAATTGTAGAAGGCACAAAAAATGTAGAGTTAGTTTTGTAATTCTAGATGCTCAT